AGCTGCCTTTTCCAGACCTGTGGCCAGTGCCTTTAGTCCTGCCTTGGTAGCCTCTCAGGAACTGGTGAGGGAGAACAGTCCAACCCCAGGTCACCAAGTGGAAGACCCCACACCTACCACAAGACTTCTGAGTGTGGCTGTTTTAGCAGAGGGGCATCATTGGCTATAATGTTCATTGTCACCATGACAGAATTTTCTAGAAGCTCTGGCAATATTCTTTGGTGCTGGAAATCGTGGTTGAGGAAAAGCAAGTAGACAGATCTCAAGACTTCTAGTGCTGATTGGTCTTCACAGCATGAGAACTGGGGTCATTGGTGCCCAAATTCACCACAGTGACCTGTAATTTCCACAGCACATTGTTCTGGACTTAACTGAAGTTTGACTTACGCTAGGTCTTCTGGGACATAGCTCAGGATTGAGGTATAACTCTGTGTCTCTGTGATTCTTGATTAATTTAGTGACTCCCAAAGCTCTCTGTTTTATTCAGTTTTTTTTTTTTTTCTCATCTCACCAGTTTCTAGTGCAGGGTCTTGTAGGGAAGGAAAATTTTACCTTCCTAGGCTCAGCAGCTCAGACCTGTGAATTACACTGACAAAAATCAGATTCACAGAAGAGGAGGTATACGCATTTCACTTGATGCTAACGTTTTAATTTTTATGTACACGGAGGCACCTTTAGGCCCCATCAGCTGCCAGAATTGAGGGATTTGGTACCAGTTTTACAAAGCACCTAAGTTGTGGTAAAGCAGCAAGACAAGAGAAACAGAGACTGAGCTTCTCAGGGTGCTAAACTGTGTGAGAGTAATATGTGGGTGGGCAAAAAGGAAAAGCAGGTTATGGAGGAAGATTCATTCCACACTAGCGAGGTAGCTGCTGTTAGGCAGGTGGGAAGAGGTGGAGAACAAATTTTCCTGGAGCTGCTTTTTCTCGATTGTCTCCACTCTTAAATAATCTTGTAACCAACTCACACATTTATAATTGTATATTGATTCCTTTCACACTAAAGCTCAAAAGATATTTTGAATGAATAAGTGGACATTGAATATTATTACTAAAAACAACTGATCAACTCCAAGCCTCTTCAGAGGCATGATTCTCACCATGCTCTTTCCTCATTGGCCTTGGGATACAACACAGTTATCCTCCTGGAGTTTTGTGAGGCTCCCATAGGGCAAGGAATGCAAAGTTTTTCATTAAAAGATGTCTCAGCACATGCTAAGTGTTCTGGAAGTGTTTGAGGCTGCTGTTATTACTATCATCATGATTACTATGTTTATTATTAACTGACATCATCTTTAGTGCAATTGTGATGATGATTAACATACCCCATCCAACCTGTACCCCATCCATCCAGTCCTCACTCTGCTATTGAGTGGGGAATCCTATGGAGTTTCTTTATAGCTTCTGGGTATCCTGAGAAAATTAAACTGGACACACAGAAAAGGTAGCAAGCATGCACATTATTGAAAGTGGGAATAGAAGTGAGTTCTACAGGAGTGAAAGTTCTGTATGGAAGCATGGGGGAGAGTACGAGACCACACAGCTGTCATAACAATGAATTATATACTGAAAAGAGTGACTTTTACTCTATGCCAATATTTAAAAATCAGGGGGCTGGGGAGATGGCTCAGTAGAATAAGCACTTGCCTGGCAAACGCAAGGGCCTGAGTTCAATCCCCAGTTTGGCCAGAAATCAATCAATCAGTCAATCAGTCACAAACTCCAGAGTCAGCCCCAAGACTGTATGAGGCTTTGGCAGCGGACTACTAGACACAAACCATAACAGACTGGAACATTTAGATTATCGGGATAACTTATGCTCTCGGTTGTTCAAAGTGGTCATCATACTGTTTTTTGCACTGATTACACTAGGCTATTGTTACTTTCTTCTCATTGTTGAGACAAAATACTGGATGCCCAAAATTAAGGAAAGAAAGGTTTATTTAGCTCACAGTTTGTAGAAGTTTTAGTCAAAATCAGCTGGCTCCAAGACAGGGTGGTACATCACAGAGGACAGCAGTTCATGACAGCAGAAGACAGCAGAGCAACAAGAACAAAAGGGTGGAGCATAAGAGAAGATTTTTGCTGGCCCTTCTAGTGTATGTAGGCTGCCCACTGTAAGCGGGTGTGGTACTCACACCCACAATCCCATCACTAGACAATAAATCTACCACAAACTCTAGATTCAAATGCCTCTGAAAAAAGCACCCCTGTGACTGCATGAGGCTTTGAAGGGGGGACCATCCAGACACAAACCATAACAGCTAGAGTGATAACTTCTAAGTGTGCAGCATTCCCAGTTAGATGCTTGTTATAGTTCAGATCTGAAATGTGTGGCCCAGTCAGAGAAAGGGCACTGCCCTTGCCCTGCCTCCCTTGCTTTCGGTGTGCTTCCTATCTCCCCTCAGGTAAGCAGTTTTCCTCTGCTACACCCTTCCACCTCACAGGCCCAGAAGCAAGGCAACCACCTGACCCTGAATGGAAACAGCTGAAACCATAAGCCAAAGTAAACCTTTCCTCCTTTAGAGTGCTTGTCCTCTGTGTTTCATCACAGTAACTGAGAGCTAAAGTAGTACTGATATATCAGGATGAAGCTGGTTGATGTGAAGAACAGTCAGAGAAATTCATTATAAATAAAAAACTTGGGCAAAAACATTATTGTTAGGGCTGGGGAGATAGCTCAGTAGAATAAATGCTTGCCTGGCAAACGCAGGGTCCTGAGCTCAATCCCTGGTACCATAAAAAATAAAATAAATAAATAAATAAAAGTTGTGAAAACTTTTATCTTAATACTAAAACACTGACATGTAAAATATTTATAATCTAGAATAAGTGATCATACCAATCGAAATACAAATTTTTCATGTGGGCATTGCCCTAGAAGAGGCAGGGTTAGTGTCCTAAATAGCACACACTGCTGTGACAAAACCTCTCAAACAGAAATGGCTTAAGTATCAGACATTTATTTCTCACAAGAGAAGCCAAGAATCTAAGATCAAGGTGCCAGAAGGTCCGGGCCACCTTCGTAGCTTGCAGATGGCCGTCGTTTCCCTGTGGGCCTCTCTGCTGTACAGACATGTGCAGAGCTCCTCCAGCCTCTTGTTCTCATGAGAGCCCTGATCCCAGTAAGAGGGTCCCATCCTGGTGGTCTAATTGCTACTGAAAGGCTCCATCTCCAAATTCCTTAATGTTTGGAAGGTAAAGCTGCAACATGGAAACAGCCAGTGAGGCTGGGAATAAAAAGTTTAGGTGGTTCGCTGAAATGTGAAGTACATCTGCTGAAGCAGTTCCATTGAAGTTGCACTGGTGGCTAAAAAGGACACAGAGAAAACAAATGTCCAGTTACTGTGCAGAGGAAACAAGTAATTTTTCTTCTCCCTTCTTATATTTCCTCAGGCTTTTCAAATTAAACTGGCCAAAGAGACTAACAAGAGGATAAGATTTATGTCAGATGCACATGGGAGCCAATGAAGGCAGTAGCTGCTTCTTGGATCCTGAGAGGTAAGGCTTATATGTTTCTTCTCTTTTTTCTTTTTTCTTAGTGTATTTTAGTACAGGGTCTACAGGGTCTCACTACGTAGATCCGACTTGTAGTGATCCTCCTGTTTACAGCCTCCCAAACTCTGGGATTACAGGCACCTACCACCACTCCCAGTCTGGAACCACTCCCAGTTTCGATTGCAGTCTCAGCGGAGCCCAGGGCGAAGAACCTGTCCCCCGCGTCTGCCTAAGCAGGCACTTTAATCAGCTGAGCTATCTGGCTTGCCCTAAGGCTTATTTTATGTTTAACTCAGCTGTGAAAAGAGAAGGGGAGAAAAGGCTTCTTATGGGACAATGAATACGTTTCTTCAGAAACAACAAGTAGGCTTGTAAAAGAACGGATGGGAGATGAAGTGTGATAGCTTCTGCCTACCCATGGATGAACTCCCTGTCCTTTTCAAGATCCTAATACAATACTCTCTTGGGAAAGGATTTATAGCTGGTTTATTCCCATTCTATTTGGAGTAGTAGATCTTCCCTAGGAGGAATCCACAGCAGCTATTTCTCAGATAGCTCTGGTAGTCAGATAAGGAAAATTCTAAGGTTTTTATTCTTTTTCCCCTCCCTTTTGTCTCCCTTTCTGTTTCTCTGTTCCCTTTATTCCTTCCTCTACCTTTCTTTTTGAGTCTGTTGAACCTCAAACATCTTCCATTTGTAATAATCTCTCAATTGAAGTTGCATACTTTGAGGCTGGCATCTTCTGTTCCTCCCCAGCTGGAAGGAACAGCACCCACCCCCATTTATTTATTTATTTATTTATTTATTTATTCATTCATTTATTAAATTTATTTATTTATGTGTGTGTGTGTGTGTCCAGCTCAGCCCACCAGGGGGCGGGGCTGGCTGGCATGTGGTGCTGGGGGATTGAACCGCGGTCCCTGTGCTTTGCTAAGCTTGTTCTAAGTAGGTGCTTTAGACCACTGAGCCATCTCACCAGCCCCCCATTTATTTATTTTGGGGTCTGACTTTACATATATGCTTTACACCCTCCGTGGGTGCCTGGTGTGTAGAGACGCCCTTAATTCTGAGTTCTTTGATTAATGAGAGACAAACCAAAAAGGACACTTAGAAAAGCCAAGAGTGCAGGAGCACTAGGGTTTGGGAGATGGTGGCTCCAGAAACTCACTGAGCTCTAGAAAGCCAAATTCTCTGGGGTACCTCTGGGGAGAGGGGTAAGGAAAGGAAGCCACTGTCTATGCCTAGCTCTTAGGCAAATGCTCTACAGGAAAGAGCTTCACTCTTAAATTGCTGTCACCTTCCAGAGCAGGCCACACAAATGAAATTTTTCTTTCTCAAAAGGACCTGTTCTAGTGGATGTTATGGTGCTTGCTTGGGAGAAGAAACCGGTTCCACCAGCCCACTGGCCTGTGCCTGAGGCCAGACCGGCCAAGGGGGTGGCCAGCTGGCGTTTCCTACCAGAAAGGGCTGTCAGCCTCTGGTTGGTGGAAAAGAACAGCTGAGGCAAGACCAGGGCCAGAAAGTGGGCTCCACCTGCCCCGGAGGGCCTGAGGGAGGCTAAGGGTGGGGGGAGGCCCTGAAGCCTCTGGGCCTGACTTCCGAGTTGGCTGTTGTGGAGGGCTGGCTAATGATTAATGGGAATGTGCCCGACTGCTTGGGGCACTCACACCTTCCTGTGTCTCTAGTCCTGCCGGAGAAGTGACACAGCCCTTGGGAGGAACTTCCTGTCACTTGGTGAGGAGTGATCAGGAAACTTGGGTGGCCAGACAGCACCCATTCCTGTATTTGTGTGGAGACAGGATAGCAGCCTGAGGAGGCTGAGGAGCCTTTTGGGAACTGAAAATCTTCTCTGAAGCTCTACAGGGGACATTTGCTGCCTGAGGTAAGGCCTGCAGTGTGGCTCTTGTGTAAGAAATGTCAGGTGGGTTTCTCCTCAGTGGGCCTGAGGTCCTCCTGGTCCATCCCCTGGATCTCCTGTGAAGCTCCTGGATGATAGCACACACAGTTTTATTTTCCAGCTTCCAAAGTTAAAAATTAAATGGGCTGCACTTTGAGTTTAGAGATTTCAGATGACTCTACGGAGTGAGCGTCCCTCACAGAAAGCTGCTACTTGCATAGGTAAAGCCAGGCCTCTGCTGGTCCCAGGAGTTACATACTGGAAACCCACTTCAAGTCAGGTTACTTCTAGGATGGTCTGTGAATGCCATTTCCACCCCAACAAAAAGACCCCACAGAAAGCAAGATTATCATGGGTCTCTGGACTTTCCGAGAAGCTGGGCCTGAAAGTAGGGCAGGCAAGACTGTAGTTTTCAGTGCAGGAGAAATGCAGGGCCTGGCTATGATCCAGATGGAACTGACCCCTGCAGCCAGCTCCCCTGGGAACCCCCAGTCTTCTGCTTTGTTCTGTTTGGGGTCAGGTTTCTTGCTGTTGACTAAAACAGGATATTTTCAAACATTTCTGGAAGTAACTATCAAACTATTCCCAAGAACCAGAAATAGGGGATTGGTTGAGATCAGATTCATCCATGGCAGGTATTTTCAGCTTTTCTGGGTGTTTAATTTTTTTCAGGCCAGTAAGAAATAGGATGAGGGTCTAAGTCCTTCCTATTTAATACAACTTAATAATAAGACTTAAGAGTTTAAATGCAGTTTTTCATCTAGAGTATGACATTCAGAGCCTTCCAGGAGGAAATGAACCAGAAGATCAATTTCAAGGCTGGGTCCCACTGCCCCTCAGCATATTAACTGACCAGTGCTGATATGAGTTGTCTCGTTATTCTGACATCAGTTATACTTGAAACCAGCTTTATGAAGATGCCCCAACCACGTAGGCCCCGTAAACACTGGGGCCTCACAAGGGCTGTCTTTTGTGACTTGCCTTTGATTCCTGGACTTGCAGCTACTCCTATACTACCTGCTGGGGTCCTCCTACCTGCTAGACTCAGGGACAAATACAATTTGGACAAGAAGAAGTGAGAACCACAGGAGAGAAAGTTGACAAGCGGAGTGTTTCCTCCTTAAATGCTCTGTTCTTCATCTGAAGCCTGACCCTATGTGGTTCATAGCGGCTGCAGCTCTTTCTGATGGGCCTTCATCTATGCTGTGGTCTTTGCTGTGCTAGGCCCATGCTCTTAGTACAAGTTAGAGGCCCAGTTCCCTAGCTGGGAGTCTGCATTCCACGGGGCTGGCAGAGCAATGAACCTATCAAGCTCTGTTAATTGAGCCTTGAAATGAGTAAATGATTTATTAAACACTTTGTAACTCTGGCTCACGGATCAATCTCAGATCAATCTTGGAAGGCCTGGTTCCATCCCGGATTGTGTGGGCTGCTGGGGGACTTGCTGTGTGTAGCATTATTACGAGGGGCAATGGAATAGTACTGAAGCACAGATATTTTGGTCTTTAGAGACCCGAGTGTTTAGTGCACAAGTGGGATAGAGTTCCTTCCCAGGTTAGGAGTTAACTGTGAGGTGTGAGTCCAGGCCCAGGAGCCTCTGCACTCTGACACTCTGGTTTTACCCAGGGACTTGCAGAGCTTCACTGACTGAGGTGTGGTGACTGTTTCTGGTGCCTCCTGCAAACCTTCCTTTCTGACCCTGGGGCCAGTTGTGACTTAAGGTCTGTCAGAGAAGAAAGGAGGCCAGAACCTTGGGTCATTGATGGGAGCTGGCACCTCCCATTTTGGAGGGACAGGGTGGATTCACACATCAGGACTGGAATCTCTGGGGACCACAGTTGAAGTGAGAAGCACTCCAGGCCTCTGTGCCACAGTGAGGCTGGCAGGGAGGAGCAGGTAACCAGTGAAACTCCCCCAAAGTGCCCCAAGGGGACCCCAGCCTGGTGACCATCTGGGTGAAGGAAAAGGCAAAAAGAGAAAGTGCAGAGATGTGGGGTGAACAGGAGGGTTAGCAAGGGAAAGGGGGCCCTGCAAGGAGGGCCAAGTGCACACTGCAGCAATCTCGAGTGCTTCAGTGCCTCACTGGGTCCAGCCCTGCCATGCACCACCCCTCTGCCAGAGTCCTCTCTGCAGGTTCTCAGTTGTGCCAGCCAGTCCTACCCGGGGTCTTTGCACCTGCTCTCTCCTCTGCACAGGAAGATTTTTCAGCAGATGTACACATGGCTATCCCTTCACCTGCTGGAGGTCTTCCTCAGCCACCTGACTCAAGTAATACCAGCCCACACATGCACACCCTCTGTGTCATTTTCTCCTCATCTTTTGCCTCTTTCTTTTAGATTGTCTAGTGTATTTCTGCATTTTGCTCTATCTTCCCCTTAGGGAACATGAGCTTATCAGGGGTACCATGTTTTCCTCAGTGATTGGAAGGAACAGCAGACAGCCCCAGCTCTACCTCTTGGTCAGGTCGTGCTATCCACACCCTATTGTTCACGTCATTTTGTTCAATGACTCCCACACTCAGGGCCTGCAGCGGGTCTAGGGTGGGGTTGCAGCATATCCTCCGTCACACCAAATAGTGAGGGCCATTCCTCTCAGTACCTGGGAGCTGGCTGGACAGAGCATATCTGAGTGGCAGAGAAAGCACAGGGGTGGAGGGTGTCACCTGCCTGCTTTGTATTCCAGGGTGAGGAAGATCATGCGGAGATGGAGAGCAGCGGGAATGGCGTCCTGGCCATGTTGGTCATCCTGGCCGTGCTGACAGGTAGGGGTCAGGGCTGAGCAGCCTGTTCTTTGCATCCTCTGCACTCAGAGGAAGGGCACTGAAGAGGACACTGGAAAAGCCCACAGGAAGTGCCTCTTCTGGTGCCTTTCCTTTGGCTCTTCTTTTAGAGGTGACTTCCTCCATCTTCTAGTTCTAGCTGCTTCAACTCCACAGTAAGGACCCTGTAGTGCCTTTGACCTGCAGACTATCCCGCCACTGTTGCAGAGTCTCTCCTGCCTGCTTTACCTGCTTCCTCAGTTTGCTAGGAAGGCCCAGCTTCCGCCTTCATGCCTGCCTGACTGCTGCCATGACCAGGGTGGGATCCCAGGTCCCAGGTGCTGACCAGATGAGGGCCGGCCACATGTGTTTCTTCCCCACTCCTCTCCACAGTTCCTGTCAGCTTGAGGCCTCCCCATAGTGGAGTGAACCCTGCAGTGTCTGGGCCACAGCCTCCCTTCTATCAGACTCTGCCAGCAGGAGATGATGCAGGTGGCCTTTGCAGTGGCTAGAGCCCAGATACACAGCTTTGGTTTAGTTAGGTCCTACTGGAGCGCCTATGCAAGGGTGAGCTTAGCCTTCTTTTTTCAATGGATTGTGAATTCTGCCTTCTTTACCATAGTGACCCAAGACCATCAAGCTGAAGAGTAATGTACACTCTAGAAAATGCACAGCCATCCAGGCACAGCTTGGTGACCTTCCAAACACTGAGCACATCTCCACTTTGTGGCCTACTTTGGTTGTCCAGACAATTTTAAGAAAATGTGAAAGAAAAAAAAAAAAAAAAAAGAAAATCTGGTCATGATCACACTGAAAAGAATAAAATGGAACACGCAGATGAGGGCATCAGCATGTGCTGCGTGCAGTAAGGACTGCTTTATGAAATTCTTTTTTTTTCTTTTCTATTAAATTTAATTTTATTATTTCATTTTTTGTTTTTAATTTATTTATTTATTTTTTACTGAGAAATAAATATGAATGAGATAGTTTCACAGCTGATTAATAGGACAGTTTTGATAATCAATACACTGTACATTGTTATCTTCTTAGTGGTTATCCATAGTACAAGAAGCAGACAGGATATTCTGTCCAAACACTGTTAGTACACCTCTTTCTTCTCATTGAATTACGTGAAAGTAGCTGTAAATTTATCCTAACTATTTTGTATTATTTCATTTTGAAAAGTAAAAGACAAAAGCAAGAACAAAAATCAGAAGCAATGACAAACTGGGTAACATACAACAATACATATTTTACAGATTTTCAGAACAAGAATAGCTGATTAACAGTGGTTGATATATTATCTATTTTTATCAACAGAACTGTTGCTCAAATTGAGAGATATAGTTATATAAGATGGGACATATGATTGCATATTACTGCTTGTTTTCCAGAATTTTTGTTCTTTTCCCTCTTGTTTTTCTTTTTGTCTTTTTAAAAATTTTACGTTGAAGAGAGTATAGTAATAATTGATATGACATTATAAGGGGTACACATTTAGAAAACCAAGATGAAAAGTATTCAAGCATGACTTTTTAAAATAATTTTATTGAGAAACAAATAGCAATGAAACAGCTTCAAAACTAACTAGTAGGACAATTTCAATAATTAATACATTGCATATTGTTGTCTTCTTAGTGGTTATTCATAGTACAAGAGGCAGACATGATATCCTGTCCACAAACACTACTAGAACATATCTTTCTATTCATTGAATTAAGAGAAAGTAGCTATATATCTATCCTATTTTGAGTATACAAATACAAAATGGTCATTCATTTGTATTCCCCTTTTTTGTTTAGTTTTTTCAGAGAAGGGTATTCCATTGTCATTCAAATATCATAGATGCGTCAATTTAGCAAAATATTCCAATACAGTCCAGTAGTCTGTAATAGTAGCAGGTTTTCTGTAAGACTGGCAATGTCCAAAGTTGTTGACTTGAGCCTTTTACAGCTCAGCATATTAATATGGCTTTACTTTTTATACTTCATTTTCATACTTTTCTGCTGGATGGTCAAGACCAAGATAAAGCAAGATCTATATAACAAGAAATGTAACTTTTGTATCTGATAAGGTCAGTCAAGTACCCTCAGGATTTATCCTGTAACCTTGTACCACACTTTGTAGATCCTTTGTCAGTGTCAGCTGTGTGGATGAGTCACGGCCATTGTTTGATCAATTTGCTTTCTGTGAAAGCCTGAGAAAATGTTTTCTCTCCATGTGACTCTCCTTAGGCATACTCTACATCATTGATCACTTTCCTCTGTGGCCCCATAATCTCCTTGATCAGAAAATTTGGGACACAACTGAGTTACATGATGTTACAGTACAGGTTCTCCTGTGTCCTGAGTCCTCACTGACCTTGAAAGGCTAGGGCCAAAATGTTGACTGTCCTTGTGCAGTCTTTGTTTTTCTCTAATTTTTGGTCTGTAAACTTAAGTTGTTAACCCTCTGGCAGAGAAGCTTATTATTACCCTACAACATAGGCAATAGAGCTTAACCTCACTATCTGTCTGAATATCAAACATCTTAGAGATAATATGGAACAAGTATTTTCCATCAAGTATTTATATATTAAACTTTAAGTCCCTACAGAATATGAAGAAAAAAATTTAAAAAATTTTAAAAATAGGAATAAACAATTACATGTTTTTACACAGAAATTTAGAAATCTAACCATATACAGCATTGTAGCAGGACAGTCTTATGACTTTTTTTTTCTTGTCTCTTGTTTTCATTTATTATTCTTTTTTAAAAAATAAACATTTACTTGAAAGACAGTATGGCTGTAACTGGTATGATATGACAAACAGTACATGTTTAGAAGACCTGAATGACAGGCATTCCAAGCATGACCCTAGTATTACACACTGCTATCTTCAGTGCAGTTGCTTAGTTCACAGTATATATAGTATCAGCATATATAGTTAGTCAGGGTGAGAATCCTACCAACTAACTGCTAGTTTCAAAAATCTGCTGAAGATTCTCAGGACCATTGCCTTAACCATCTTGTGCATATAAATGTATAGCTTTGCCCTGTCATGTTTCCTAGCTTTTCTCCTTGCCCTCTCTTCATTGTCTAGTCCTTAAGTTCTTACTTTCCTTTTAATTGTGTTATACCTTTTTAAAAATTTCTTCTTTTGAGTTTTTATACTAGAGAAACTATATGATATTTACACATGTGGGTCTGGTTTATTTCACTTACATCTTCAAGTGGCATCCACTTAAATATAGAGGCTTCAAGTTTATCATTCCCTATAGCTGAGTAGTACTCCATTGTATAAAAATACCACTTTTTTCATACATTCCTCAGGTGACAGGCATCTTGATTGTTTCCAAGATTTGGCTATCACAAATTGTGCTGCTATGAACATAAGTACACATCTGTCATCATGATATGATGTTTTCAGTTCCTCCAGGAAAATGCCCAGTAAAGGGATAGCTGGTTTGAATGGGATTTCCAGTCCTAGTTGTTTAAGGAGTTTCCACACTGATTTCCATAATGGTTGCACCAGTCTACATTCCCCCCAGCAATGGAGAAGGGTTCCTTTTTCCCCACAGCCTCTCCAACATTTGTTGTTGGTTGATTTCTTTATGATAGCCATTCTTTCTGGGGTGAGATGGTATCTCAGTGTTGTTTTAATTTGCATTTCACGGATGGCTAGTGATATGGAGCATTTTTTCATATATTTATTCACTTCTTTAATTTTATCCTCTGAGAAGTGTGTGTTCATCTTGGATGCCCATTTCTGGATTGGGTCTTTAAATTTTGGGGCCCTAATGTTTTTTAGTTCTTTGTAAATTCTAGAGAGCAGACCTTTGCCTGAATGCGTATTAGTTAAGATTTTTTTCCAAATTTGTGGAATGTCTTTTCACTTTGTTTATAATTTCTTTTGATGTGCAAAAACTTCTCAATAAGAGGAGTTCTCAGTTGTTAATTCTTTCAAGTATTACCCATGCGATTTGATTTTTGTTCATGAACTCTGCCTACCACTATGTCTTCAAGAGTTCCTCTTACTTTCTCCTCCGGGAGATTTAGTGTTTCTGTTTTAATGTTTAGATCTTTAATCCATTTTGACTTTAGCTTAGTGTATGGTGATAGACCTGGGTAAAGTTTGAGTTTTTGGCATGTAGAGAGCCAGTTTTTCCAGCACCATTTGCTAAAGAGACTATCTGTGTTCCAATGAGCATGTTTGGCCCCTTTGTCAAAGATCAGGTGGCTGAGTGTGTTTGTAGAGGCTTTTGCATCTTCTAATCTATTCCATTGATGCTCAGGTCTATTTTGTTCCCAATACCATGCTGATTTTATCACAGTAGCTTTCTAGTATAACTTCACGTCAGGAATTGTAATGCCTCTTGCCTTGTCTTCATTGACCAGGATTGACTTTGCTATTCTAGGTCTTTCTGGTTCCAAATCAATTTTAGGAACGATTTCTCTAGGTCTGTGAGGTAGGTTGGTGGTAGTTTTGCTGTATGAAATTCTGATCATGGGTGTGTGTATATATGGAGTTAGGAACACCAGGCTCAGCCCTCATGTGGATCTGGAGACAAGGTGCTGGGAAGCTTCTGTCCAGTAGCATGAGAAACTTTTATTTGTAAAGTGGAGTGGAAAACAAAGTATTGGAGTAGGTACAGCCTAGGAAGAATAAGCCACCCTCAGTGTACATTTTGGGAACATGGCACCAAACAGGCCTATTTAGCCCCTCAGTTGCAGAAAGCTCTTTGAGGGTTTTGTGGCAGCTGATGAACTCTGGGTTTAGCTCCCCTGAGATATTTTGTCCTGCTGGAGCCAAGTAGGAAGTATTGATGTGAGGCAGGAAGGTTCTGGTTTGAAACCTAGAGATGGCTATTGCAAGAGACAGGGTAGTATTGGCTCATTCTAGAGCCCTAAGAGAATTGGGGCCCATCCCAAAGTCTGTGATGAAGGCTAAGTACCTTGGGCACATTCTCTTGGGCAACGTTGTGCGCAGTCATATCTGTGTGTAGACTTGGCTCTGGGTAACAGAAAGCAGTCTTTGTGTGAACCCAAGGGCCCACCCTGCCCTCTCCACCTCGCCCATGGCCTCATGGCTTATGTAGAACCTGTTACTCACACAATAAATAGTCACTGAGCACTTGTTATGCAGCACTTAGCTGACAAACAAGATGCATGACCCAGAAAAGCCAGGCATAGTCCTCATTAACATGGGGCCCGTGGCTTCATATAAGAGATAGGCATTGATTGAGGAGAGAAATAAGTATAACACATCCATCATAACATTCACTTCAAAGAAGCACCACTACTCTGCACCACTACTCAGAAAGCTTGCTTCAGGATAATTACTCTCAAGGGTGACCAGGAAAGTTTCGCTGAGGAGAAGACATCTGACCAGGGGCTGAGAATCAAGTGATAGTAGTGTTCAGAGCTACATGCATGAAGGCCCTGGGGCCAGAAAGACTGGATGAGTCTGATAAATTTTAAAAAGGCTCTTGTGGCCTGATGGAGCAAAATAAAGCATCTCTCTTTTCTGCCCTCCACTTTCTTTCTCTAGCTCCTTCTTGATGGTGAATCCACATCTTCAACCCTGCTTTTCCATTCACTGCAGTGTTAAGGACAAGATGAGTGTTGAGGGTCGATAGCCATGGCCAGGAAGGAAGAGAGGAAAGTGAGAAGACAGAGGGTCTCAGAGTAGACCCTCAAACCCATGTGAAGGAGATGCCTGAAAGTATTTCAGGGAGCTGTAAAGAGGCCACCACAGAACACTTGTGTTTAGGTCAATTTCTGCAGGATTGAAAGGAACCATGGCAAGTGTGCTGCCCCATGATTGATATAAGTCTGAGGTTGTTGGGAAGCAAGAGAGAGGAAGAAAAGGAATCCTTTCCATCTTGGGTGGCCATCAGTCATTTCCTGGGAGATGCCTGATAGGGCAGGAGAGGAGGGCTGGACTGTGAATGTGGGCTTGGGAAATGGAGAACATTGACAGGCAAAAGAATCTTGTAAATGGGCAAGGAATCCAGTAGACAGCAGAGTGGTTGGCCACACAGACATTCCAGGGCAGGGGAGACACTGACACTTCCGAGTGCTCTACCAATTTGTCACTTTGCTTCAAAAATAAAAGGAAAAGCAAAGGGAAAGGGAGGCCCTAAGTGAGGTATGTGACTGATTAAAATTCTTATCTATAATTTTCTGTTGTTTGTTCTATGTAGGGCAGGCTCACACAAGGCCACAATAAGACAATAAGGGAATGAGATGCCAAGATCTCGAGCATTTGCCAGAAGGCAGCCCTGAGTCACAGGGCACAGCTGGAGGGTGGTCACTGAGGGCTCTAGCCTGGGTGGCAGGTAACAGTGTGGGGGGAATTTGGCTCCTTCTTTTACCTTAAAGTTGAGTCAGAATCCAAGAGTTTCTACCGTGCACAGCCCCCTCTCCCCTGCCCAGCTGCAGAGTGAGGCCTGTGGCCTGCAGAGGTTCTATGATTCCTTAGTCACACATGAAGTCAGAGATGCTTCAAGACTGGTTTTAGAGTGAAATGATCTCACCATGGTGCACACGGCCATGGAAAAAAGTCTGGTTCTAGAAGCATTTTCTCATTCTCATGAGGTTTCAAGAGTGGGCTCTTCAGGGGCAGACCAGGGCCTCATCTGTCCCATCCTTCTTCCCCCAGCCTCACTGGGCATCATCCATTTGCCTCCCTCTACCATGCCCAGTGTGGGGCATAAGGGCTTGACTGGCCTTTCTTCCCTCAGACATAGAGCTATATCTTTTCTTTGCTCTTTTTTCTTAAAATGTGACTCGGACTCACAGAAAGGGCCATGCTGACAACGTCTGTAGCTTCCCAGATGAGTTATATGGATCTTTCTTCCTGGGGCCTTTGTTTCTTCACTTGAGGATCAGAGGGATCCTGGATTAGAGCGATGCACCCCTACCAGGAATAGAATCCTACCTAAATTGTGGTTTTGAGAGTTGCACTTTCTTTTTCTGTCACACCCTGGGACAAAGCAAAGACTAATGTGATCATGTTTACTCAGACAGTAGGTAAGGTCAGTGCATTTGGCCCTTCCCTTAGCTCTGTCTTTTCTGAGCCAAAGCCCCCTTTGGTCTCTTTCTGCTTGTATCTCACACTGTTCTGGGCACATGCACACATGACACTTCTTCCAGGTCCTGCAGGTTGTAGTTCTGGTTCACAGTGCATTGTGGATGCACAGATGAGTTCTTGTTCTGAGTGTTTACCATCCACCCTTTCTGCAAGGAACCTCAGCATGACATTGCTTTAGAACTGCATTACTCTTGGTTGTCCAAGGGCAGAAAGAAAGAAGGGAGTTGCCCTTAATGTGAGCCTGGTTGGCCCCAGGGACTATACATTATCAACTGATAATAAGAGTGCCAGGACTCATGAGGAAGGCATGGTTGAACAGAAACCTAGGTCTGTGGTATTCCATAGTTCTTTATCATGGGATAAAGAGCATGGAATTTTGAATTGAATGTCTCAGTCGGGGTCCCAGTTTCTGCTGTTGCTATGATATCCCTGGTGGACAGGGCTGGTTCTTTCTGGAGACTTCAAAGGAGACCCTGTTCATGCCTTTCTCAGCTTCTGGTGCTTGTCCACAATCCCAGCCATCTCAGATTGTAGACCTGTCCATCCACTCTCTACCTTCATCTCCACATGGTATTTCTCTCTGTACTCTTCTGTATTGGAGGGATATTACCAGAATTGGATCCCTCCCTAAGCCCAGGTTGGTTTGATTTTGAAATCCTTAACTAATTACCTCTACAAAAAACCCTCCACTTTCAAAGGTCACTTTCTGAAGAGCTGGTGGATATAAACGTATGGATAACAACATGCAACCAGTACAACCCAGCTAAAGGAGAAGAGTGAAAAGTAGGGTAGGGTGATGGCTTGATGTCCACTGGCCACTCTTGGGCTCCTGGTGGAGCCCTGTACAGGACCTGTAAGACCTGGAGTCTGAACTAGGCCAAAGACACCCAGGTGATAATAACTGGTGAATAGAGAAGAGTTGAACTACATAGTTGATTAATACTCACCCTTTGAAAACTTGGCTGTTTTTTAGTGTCTGGATCCAGCTACCAAATCATAGAAGGGCCCCAGAATGCAACAGTGCTGAAGGGATCAGAGGCTCGCTTCAACTGCACTGTGTCCCCAGGCTGGAAGCTCATTATGTGGGCCCTCAAAGGCACAGTGGTCCTGAGCATTACATCCCGGGAGCCCATCATCACCAACGACCGCTTTACCTCTGCCAGTTATGACCTGGATGGGAACTTCGTCTCTGAGATGATCATCCACAATGTGCAGCCCAGTGATTCAGGGCTGGTAAGATGCAGCCTCCAGAACAGTGATCTGGATGGATCTGCTTTCCTCACAGTTGAAGGTATGTATGCAGCAGACTCCAGAGCAGAGGGTTGGAAGGGCCTTCTGAGGCTCACACTATGTACAATGGCACATGGGTCGGTGTTATGCTGATGATTACTTTGAACTGGTAACTGTTTTATTGTCACCTCCTCTCTGTCTCCCTCCTTCCTTTCTTTTTTCACCTTTCCCTTCCCTCTTTCCTCCTTTCTCCATCTGCACTCTAGCCTTCTGTTTGCAATAATTTATTTATTTATTTTTTTATTTTAACATTTATTGTGTGTGTGTGTGTGTGTGTATGTGTGTGGCCAGCTCAGCCCACCAGGGGGCAGGGCTGGCTGGCATGTGGTGCTGGAGGATTGAACCGCGGTCCCTGTGCTTTGCCAAGCTTGTTCCAAGTAGGTGCTTTAGACCACTGAGCCATCTCTCCAGCCCCTGCAATATATTTATAATTATTCTGAGCAATATTTGTTTGTAAACCAGTCTTGTCCCTTCTTTTCTTCTTACTTCTTTCCCTTTGTCTTTCTATCCTTGCTTATTTTTTTTCCTTGTACAGACTTTTAAAGATGCTATTTTTTATTGCTCCCCTCGTGTCATCCATTTCAGCATTCAGTAGCTTTCTGGAAATGCATCGTGGAATTCTTCTGATCCAGTTGGACTAATTGGAGTCACTTGTCTCTGATTTGGAGATAGGTGACAATTACTCTAGTTTGTTTGGTTTTTTCTTTACTATACTTGACTATTTCTTAGCACATGTCATTTATCAACTCTGAAGCATGATTTAACTTTTTTATTCTTCCTTGCTGAAGCTGCCCCAATCTCTCTCTCCATTCTTGGGTATAGCAATTATTATAATCAAAGATGTGTGCTTACCAAACATACCAAGTCACTCTAAGAAAAGAAAAATGGTGAACACAATCTATAGTGGGTGACATTTTTTCATTCTTAAAAGTAATTCTGAGGTTCTAAAGATCATGGCATGTAGGAAAGAGTTGCTTTTACAATGATCTAGAATATTCTTATCAAAATTTAGCCACTGTATACTGTTCAAAAGTGTATTTATACACTATTAATAGAAGCATTATGACTACCATAGTTCTGGATTTCTTACAAGAAACCACAATATGTCTTTGAAACTTTTTATAATATTTGTTTATTTACCTTGGAGAGATTCCAAAAAATTCTGACTGTATTCAGATTACTGTCAAATCAATTTTGCTAACATTTGGTGGAAAGACATGTCTGTTGCTATCTGGATTTAAAATTTTTTTATTATAGAAATTTAATTAAATTGGCAGGTCTTTTCCTTTTGCATCTTTAATTTTATGTGGTTTAATTAGGGGTACAATGATATTTTTTTTAATTTTATGAGGCTACCTCGGGCTATTGCCTTGGTTTGCATGGCCAGATTCTCGAGATAATGGTGCTGGGTATAAGGGAAAGAACACAGGCAAAGAAATCAAAGACATAAATTCTGATGTTGCTATCACCAGTTATTTTCTACCAAAATCCCATGATGGCTCAATTTCTTCATCTTTAAAATCAGTAATGCTGGCCTGGTGAGACAGTTCAGTGGATTAAATGCCTGCTTAGGCAAGCACAGGGACTGGAGTTCAATCCCTGGTACCACAGGCTACACTGGCCCTGTCCCCACCTCCGAGTGTGCTGAGCTGGCTGCAGAAACTGGGCCTGGTTGCACACTCCTGTAATCCCAATGCTGGGAAGGCTGAAAACAGGTGGATCACTAGAGTCCAAGCTGCGTAGTGAGAGCCTACACCAAATACATGAAAATAAATAAAGTGGGTAAAGCTAATAAATAAAATAAATACATAAACAATAAATAATAATGAGATAAAATAAAAATAAAATGGGTAAAACTTCCCTGGCTTGACCGGATGGAAAAACGACTGAGGTCTTTGATTTGAAGACTCTAAAGAGCCCCAGAGCTGGGACAGAACCTGTTCGGTTTACACTGATTCCATTGCTCTGTAAGTTCTATTGCTAGATGAACAAATATTTTCTTTTTTCTGATATACAAGTCTAAGAATTCTTAAAATTAATTTTATTGGTACATTTTAGATACATATAGTAATCATACTTACCACAGAAAATTTGTACCTGTACATAATATATCTTGATTCTTTTTGCCACATTCCCCTGCCCTCCCTTCAACCCCTCCTCTCCTTCTTATTCACAATTTTTTTTTCCAGTTTTCCCTTCTATTCTCTTTTATCCCTTTCCTTCCTCCCTACTTGTTTCCTTCCCATCTGAACATTTTCTTCTTGTTTCCTGCTATCTGTTATACCTTTTGGTCCTTATAAATGCTTTCGGGGGCCTAGGGAGATAGCTCATAGAATAAGCACTTGCCTGGCAAGTGCAAGGGCCTGAGTTCAAGCCCTGATCCCCACCCCCAAAAAAAATGCTTTTGGTTTCTCTCATCAAAAAAAAAAATGCAGTATCTAAACATGTGTGTCCAATTTATTTCACTTAAGAGTATATAGCCCCAAGGTGTATTGCTAGAATGTCTTAGGTTTATCCTTCTTTATGGCAAAATAGTTCTCCATTGTATTAAAAAACCCTTATCTTCTTTACCCATGCATCACTTGACAGACGTTAGAGTTATTTCCAATATTTAGCTATTACAAACTGTTGCTACAAATATGGGTGTGCATATATTCCTGTTGAATGATACTTTTAAATCTTTTGGGCAAATACCAAGGAAGGAAATAGTAGGTCAAATGGAACCTCTAGTTTTATTTATTTATTTTTTTTATTTTTTAACTTTTTAAAAATTTATTTGTGTGTGTGTGTGTGTGTGTGTGTGTGTGTGTGTGTGTCCAGCTCAGCCTACCAGGGGGCGGGGCTGGCTGGCATGTGGTGCTAGGGGATTGAACCGCGGTCCCTGTGCTTTGCTAAGCTTGTTCTAAGTAGGTGCTTTAGACCACTGAGCCATCTCACCAGCCCTCTAGTTTCAGTTTTTTTAGAAATCTCTATACTGATTTCCACAAAATTAGTTCTTTATATATTCTAGATATTAGTCCTTTGTCTGAGGAACCTCTGTTAAAATTTTTCCCAATTATTTGGGTTGCCTCTTCACTGTGTTGGTAGTTTTGTTTGCTTGCAAAAGCTTTTTAATAAGACGAGATCCAAGTTGTTGATTCTTTGTGATATTTCCCATGCGATTAGGTTTTGTTCATAAAGTCTTTGCCTACGCTAGTGTCTTCAAGAGTTCTACCCATTCTCTCTTCTGGTAGAGTTAGTTTTTCTGTTAATATTTAAATCTTTTATCTATTTCAATTTTAGCTTTGTGCATGGTGAAAGACATGGGTCTAGTTTTAGCCTTCAGCACAGTGTTTGGCTCCTTTGTCAAAGATAACTAGATATGTTCAGAGTTGTGTCTGCATTTCTAATTTGTTCCATTAGCCCTCAAGTCTGTTTCGGGGTTTATGTTTTTCCAGTACCATGCTGTTTTTCAATCACAGTAGCTTTGTAGTACAACTTCAAGTCCAGGATTGTGATGTCCCTTGACTTGCCTTTGTTGCCCAGAGTTGCTTTTGCTATTCTGGGTCTCTTCTGGTTCCAAATGAATTTTAGAATTGTTTTCTCTAGTTCTGTGAGATGTGCTAATGGTATTTTGATTGGGATTGCATTAAATCAGTATGACACTTATGGAAGTATAGCCATGTTCACTATATTGGCTTTTCCTGCCCAAGAGCAAGAGATATCACTGCATCTCCTGATATCCTCTTTGATCTTTTTCAGGGTACTTCCTTTGTTAGATTGATTCTTAAGTATTTTTTTTTAATGCTACTGTGAAAGGTGTTGCTTCCATAATTTCTCTGTCTGTGAGTTTGTTATTTGTATACAGAAATGCTATTGCTTTTTGAGTGTTGACTTTGTATCCAGCTATGTGACTGAATTTGGTTATTAAATCTAGAAGTCTATTGGTGGTTTTCGATGGGTCTTTCATGCAGAGTAGCATGTTATCTGCAAAGAATGATAATTTCACTTCTTCCTTTCCTATGCTTATTCTTTTTATTTCTCTCTCTTGTCTAATTGCTCTGGTTAATGTTTCCAGAACTATATTGAATAGGAGTGGTGATAGTGAACATCCTTGTCTTGTTCTTGATTTTAGGGTACAATCTTTCAGTTTTATCCATTTAGTATTACGTTGGCTATTGGTTTGTCATAGAAGTCTTTTAGCAGATTGAGATTAAAAAAAAAAGTCTATTTCAATTTCTGCAGGGTTTTTGTCATTAAAAAGTGCAGGCTGACTCTGTGTGGAGTCAGCGTTTCTTTATGTCTCTTACACAGAGCAATCTGTTGCAAAAGACTGAATGAAGGGGGCCAGCCAAATAGCTCAGTGGGGGTTCGATCCCCTGGGCCTGCCGTGCCAGCCCCGTCCCTGGGGCGCGCTGAGACTTTGGCAGTTCAGACTGGGTGTAGTGGCGCCCCCCTGTAATCCCAGCACTTGAAAGGCTGTAAACAGGAGAATCACTATGAGTCTGATCTAGTAGTGAGACCCTGAACACCCTGTAGACCCTTCCCTAAAATTAAAAAAAAAAACTGAATGAACAAATACAAGAATCTAGGCAGGCACCACAGGGAATTAGCATACATATAAAGCCATGTCCTCTTTTTTTTTTTTTTTGGTTTTAAAATGTATGAATTTTATGAAAATATGTTGACCTACACTAATATGTAGTAGGTCATTTTCAGATAAATATTTTAAAACAAATACGTGATTGTAAGTTAAGATATGGTAAATATTGTTTTTTTTTTTTTTTTTTTTTGAGAACCAGGGATTGAACTCAGGCCCATTGCCCTTGACAAGGAAGCACTTATTCTACTGAGCCATCTCCCTGGCCCCCTAGTGAATATTAATAGAAGCAGTCATATAAATGAAAAGTCTCTGGAATCTTCAATAATTTTAAAGAGTGTAAAGGATACTGAAACCAAAATAGTTAAGAAACCCTGTTCAAGTCAAATTCTCTCACTGATAGATGCAAAACAGAAAATTCTAAAATTCCAGTTCATACCCAGGTGATGACACTTTAGGAGCAGTGCCAGGATTGAGAACAGATTTATCTTTTTGATTCTTACTCCAGTGTTCTTTCCATTGTATCATACAGCTGGCAATTTTTAGAATGTATTCATTTAAATATTTCAATGCCTATATATTTCACTAAGGCTGTGTCTTTGCTGGAGCCAATCCTTGGGTTACTTTACCAATAACAACAAAAATAATAATATGTAAACAATATGGAGTATTACTATACAACACAGGCAAGTGGATTTTTTTTTTTTTTTTTTTTTTTTTTTTTTTTGCGGAACCAGGGATTGAACTCAGGCCCTTGCACTTGCCAGGGAAGCGCTTATTCTGCTGAGCCATCTCCCTGGCCCCTAAGTGTATTCTTTTAACAAAACTTAAAAAATAATTTTATCTGAGTAAATTATTCTCATACATGTTTGGATTAGCTATTTCTGTGTCATATATGATTGTGATGTTATTTATAAATTGAAACACATTTTTTTTTTTTTTTTTTTTTTGGTGGAACCGGGGATTGAACTCAGGCCCTTGTACTTGCCAGGGAAGCGCTTATTCCACTGAGCCATCTCCCCAGCCCCTGAAACACATTTTAAGACAGTGTCAAAAAAGTTACATTTAAATATTTGTGACCTCAAGAATAAATAAAATAAATGACATGGCCAAACCGTAGGAGAGACTCCTCAGGACACCCTGGGTTATGTTCTCCTTGAAAGGACTATAAACATTATTTCCTTTTTCGCTTTTGCTCCCAGGATAGCCCAACAATGTTTTTAGCTCCACTTTAGTGACTGTGCAAAGCACATGCATCTGCCTTTTCTTTCCTTGTATTTATTACTCCTGGTTCCTGATTTGTATTTATTCATTGTCTCCATAGATAAATATTTTCTTATGAGAAATTTCAACTTCTTCCATTGTCCTAGTAGGTATAAGAAAGACATGGACAAAACCCAAGTTGAGGATTTCTGGAACAGACACAGCCTTCTGGGGTTGGGAAGAAAGTCTTACGAAATGTGATTTGAAGCTAAAATTGATAAAAGAAACTGTTGAACCCAGAGGCCCTGTCATTCCTCGATCATTTCTCTCTTTTCTTCTTTAGTTGTGGGCACCTTGCACATCCTCAATGATAGCCTTGTAGTTGTTGAGGATGAACTATGTAATGTCACTTGTCAAGCCTTGGGCTGGATCCCACTCCCGGATATTACCTGGGAGATCGGTGTCCCTGTGAGCCATTCCAGCTACTCCTCCTTTCTGGAGCCTGGCGACCTTCCACGTGCAGTGAGTGTCCTGGCTCTCACGCCACAGGGCAACGGGACTCTGACTTGTGTGGCCGAGCTGAGAAGTCTGCAGGCCAGCAAGTCTGTAACTGTAACCCTTACTGTGGTTCAGCCTCTGCCAGGTAAGTGAAGACTTTCTCTTTTTTATCAGAATAATCAATACTTCAGGCTTATTTCTATTGATTGATTAAGTGATTGATTGATTGATTGATTGATTGTGGTGTTGGGACAGAAACCAGGGCCTATGCATGCTATAGCCTCAGCCCTTCAGGCTTTTATTTTCCGTGTTGTGCTACCTTATCAGCGGTGCCTGAGAAAATCATGTGAAGACTTTGATTTCAGGTTGGGATGGTCATGAAGGCCAGTGACACGGTGTTGCCTTAGTGATCCTGTGATCCCAACTGCTTTCAAGATTCCAACTTAAAGTTTTCTTCTTTTTCTTAAGTACATATTAAAACCACTTAGAAGCTTTGGCAGTTAATTTTCATAAAAAGAAAGTTCAGAGCAAATATTCAAAGAAAATTGTTTTTCTCTAGCTTTTACCTACTACTGTTCCAGGGTGACACCACCCTTAGCAAATTTCCTAACATTTGAGGTGGTATTCAGTTTCTCTTAGATTTCTAATAGATTTCTTCCAGTCTTGGGAGAGTTATGGGCCTGCTTGTACTTGCTCCTCTGCCTCTGTAGTGGGGTTGAATCCTTTGTGTTGAAAAACATCCCCAGACAGTTTTTCTTTTTTCCCCTACCTCTCTCCTTGCCTGCTTCATTTTCTTTGGTAGTGGGGATTAAACCCAGGGCCTTTATACTGAGCTGCACTCTTAATCCATTTTGATTTTTTAATTTTGAGACAGAATTTTGCTAAGTGACTGTGTTACCCAGACTTGGCTTAAGCTTTCAATTCCGCTGCCTCCACCTCCCAGAATTCTAGGATGACAGAAAATGTGTGTCACCATGCCCAGCTGACTGTTTGGTACTGTACCCAGAAAATCTACAATGAACATTCTATTATTGCATTTTAAAGCTTAGAGCCTCCAGAAGATCTGCTGTGGGCTTTGACATCCCAGAAACTCCAGCCACTCTTCGGGGTACTCTGCAGAGCTCTCAGCTCTGTGTTTATTAGCAGAGCAGCATGGGGGTGAGATGAGGAGGGTGGGGTGGCAGGCCTGGTTTACTTTTTGTAAAGAAATTTTACAGAAAAAGAAGGGGGAGGAGGCTGGGGAGATGGCTCTGTGGAATAAGCGCTCTCCTGGCAAGCACAAGGGCCTGAGTTCAATCCCCGATTCCACACACAAAAAAAAAAAAAGATTGGAGGCTTGGAGGAGTGTCATGCCTCAATAGAGAGCATAAAGCTAGATGGGAAAGTAGGCTTGAGAAGCTAAGAGGAACTTTTCTCCTGAACCAAACTTTTCCTGTCATGAAATGACCACTACCTGAGCTCTTTCAAAGTTCAGAACAGCTAAATACAAAGCAAAATAATAATAATAACCAGCACTTACCACACACCAGGTACTGTTTTAAGCACTGCTGAAATATTAACCAAGTTAACCAGCACAGCACCGAGTGGGTGCTGTTCCTGGAAAGCAAACTCGTGAGGACAGTGTTGACTGGACTTGCCCTGGAGAGACAGCGAAGGCCAAGACCTGCTTCCCCATCCACTCCACGCACCACCACAAGAGCAGGCACTTGGAGACAGGCAACTGTAACACGGGACCGCAGGCCATGTGCTGTCTCCCAGTTCTGGAGCCTGGCTGTGCTGGTGTGAAGCTCCGTGGAAGGTTGGACTGACAGCTCAGCATGAGCACTGTGGATGGGAAGCATAAAGCAGGCAACGTGGTTCCTGCCACCAACTGCCACTTTGGTCAGGTACCAGAGCTGTTAGGTGAGGGCAGTCCTCTGTGCTAGACCTAGTAGCTGAACTAAGGAAGGTGAGAGCGGGAAAAGCCACAGTGGTATGGCTGCTTTCCCTCCATGCCTCAGTCACCAACCCAGCCCGGTGGTGTCTCTCCTGCAGGGGGAGCTCCTGTGTGGAAAGCAAGTGTCCTGCTGGACTAAGGAAAGGCAGTGGGGTCAGGCCTGGGGGGCAGAGGTTGGAGCTGAGGGAAGGAAAGGCCACCTGCAGTGAATGTTTGAGTCAGTCAGCAAGTGTGCTTCCGGGTGCCACAAGCGGCCAAGCCTGTCTCCCATCCTGGGCCAGGCCTTCATGTTTATCCCGCGCTGGCTCCCTTATCATGAAAACGTGTAATATTTACCAACTTCACCCTGAACGAGTCCCTCAAAGTAGATACAGGGTGAACATGCTGTCCTGAATGCTGTGTACAGTCTCCTGGGCACTTTCACCTACATCTCTTGCATCTGCACAGCCTGGTGGAGCAAGAATTGTTACTGGAGTGACCTGGAGGCCAAAGGTAACGGAGAAGCTACACAGTGCCACGGGGGTGACCAGTTCCCAAAGCTTCCACACAGTGTTCTCATCGCAGCTCCAGTTTGTGAAGCCCTTGGCGCAGTTCTGGACTTCATGATTTTAAGATCGCCTCTGAGGGAGGAGATCCTGTAATTGCGGGCACTTGCTTGGGCAGTGTTTGTGATCCTCCTGCACACTGGGCATTCTTGAAGTGTGGGCCACTTGGGGTTCCACACCCCTCCACTTTTCATCCCTGAATGTGGGCTTTAAATTTGCCTGTGCCATGAGCATTCCAGGCCGTGCTCGAGAGTCTGCTGGTCACGGAGCAAGGTGACAGGCTCGCTTTCTAGATGTGAAGAGCCTGGCTCTTGTCCATATCTAGGGCTGAGGAGGTGCACTCTGAGAAGGATATAATTCTGTCCCCTCTGTCTTAGTCACTCTTTTGTCTCTAGGACACAAAGCTCAGCACCCACTAGTTAAAGGAGAGGTGCGTTTTGGCTCACACTTTCCCTCTGTGTTCCCCTGGCTCCAAGGAAGAAATAGTATTGTAGGAGAGTCTGCTGTGGAGGAGAGCTGCTTGCAACCAGGTGGTCAGGAAACAGAGAAAGAGTTGGGGGAAATGCACCCTTCCAGGCCATGCACCCCGGGACCCAACTTCAAACAGGCCCCACCTCCTAGCAGGAAGCCAGCTACTGAACTCATCAAAGGTGGAGCCACGGATGAATACAGCTCTCCCACAATCACCTTCCACCACCTGTTCTGAACCTATAAGGCCTTTGGGAGACAACCCAGATCTAAACCATAATATTTTCCCTATTACCATTTCTAGAGGATCCCTCTTCCTAGCTCTCTATTCCAGCTCATCTCAGAAAGACGGTGGATGAGGTGGAGATTGATGACATTAGGAGAGTAGTTTGCAAACATTTTGTAAAATGTCATCTTTTACTTCTGTTCTAAGCATCTTAATATGGTAAGAAAAATGATTTCTAGGCTTGGCTTAGCTGTAGCTCACTTCCTGGTATATGGACCTTTTTTCTCCATGTAAAGAAAGAAAGGAGCTCAGCCTCTCAGTCTCTCCATCCACCCATGCACCCTTCCATCTACTGATCCACCCATCCATCAATCCATTCATCCACCCATCCTTCCATCCATCCATCCATCCATCAGTCCCCCCATCATGCCTAACATGTTCTAGGTGCTTGGGATATGAGAAAAACAAGTCCTTGATCTTGAGAAAGATAAATCCAGTTTAGGCAGTATAAATATAAGGAGAAATGGAAACACAGCAATTGGTTTCCTGGACATTTGATATGACAATGAATATGAGATGTTAAAAAAAGAAATTATCAGGACTGGCCAGATAGCTCAGGGGACTAAAACGCCTGCTTCAGCAGAGCATAGGGACCAGGGTTCGATCCATGGTGTGCCATGCTGGCCCTGCCCCCAGGGTGCTCTGAGAAAGCGATTGAGACTGAGTGTGGTGGCACACACCTCTAATCCCAGTGCTTGGGGGACTGCAAACAGGAGGATCACTAGGTCCAATCTGTGTGGTGAGACCCATTGACCCTGCACTAAATACATAAAAAAAAAGAAACTGTCAAATTATTTAACATTTTCTAATTCTATAGAAGAAAAAAATTTTTTTTAAATTGCAGGAATACTTTGCACAAAGGGCAAAAGACAAATATCTTTTATATTAAATAGTTCTCTAAAGCACAGTTTCTTGAATTTCCACATGCATTTTCGGGCAAGTCTGTGGATCCATTCTGCTGTGGGACTCTTGCCTGCCCAAAAGTCAGCTCCCAGGTGGTTGTGATTACAAATACCAAGGCAAAAGCGAGCATCTTAAATCATTCCTGCCACTGATTTTGAGCATTTAACTGTGACATAGGAATAGAAAGTATAATTAAAAGCTCAATTTTTCTATGAAAACTCTAAGAAGGAGCATCACAGTGACCTTTCTAGGTCACTAACCTCTGATTCTTTTTTTTTTTTTTTTTTTTTTTTTTATTTTAGGGAAGGGTTTACAGGGTGTTCAGGGTCTCACTACTAGATCAGACTCACAGTGATCTGCCTGTTTACAGCCTCCCAAGAGCTGGGATTACAGGCACACACTACCACGCTCAGTCTCAATTACCAGCTCAGTGTGTGTGCCCTGGGGGCAGGGCTGGCACAGCAGGCCCAGGGATCGAACCCCTGGCCCCTGCACTTTAATCCACTGACTATTTGGCCAGCCCTAACCTCTGATTCTGAAGTGCTGATGACCCTTACATTCATCGTAAACCTGTGCTCCTTGATAGGAAGTCTATTGTTTTAATATTTTCTGATGACTAGAATCCAGTAAAATAGCAGGAATTAACATTGAGATATCACCCATGCTCTGAGAGTTGAGTGGCAGACTTTGGTTAAGTAGAAATGAACAGTTTAAACAGCTCGACTGTTGCACTTTGATTAGGCTTCCATGTGGTTAATACGGGAAAAATAAAGTACAGGTGAGTGTCTTTGAGCACATCTATACGGTTCATACAAGCCAAGGCTAGGCTGTGCAGCCCAATAGGACTCTCTGTGGTGATAGAAATGTTCTGCTGTGGTGATCAAGCACTTGAAATGTGGACAGTGTAACTGAAGCACTGAATGCTTAATTGCACATTATTTTAATTAACTTAAGCTTGAACTTACATAACCATACAGCACCAGTATTGGAGAGCTCTAAGACATGGCAGCAAAAAATCAGAATGGCTTTTTCTTCTCTGTTTCTATTTTCACTTCCCTTAATTTCCTCCCTGCTGTGCTTATCTTTTTCTACTCCCAACCCCATGACTACTGCATAAAACAAGAAAGTAAAGTAGACCCTAAAGAGGGTGTTTCCTGAAGAGCTATAGAAGCAACTCCTGTGTGAGAAATAAATTCTCTAGTGGAATAGGAACAGGATTGCCATGAAAAGCTATGTTCCCAAGTCCCTTGGGATAGGACCTTGCCAGTGCGTTGGATTTCCTTTGAGCTCTGGAATCTCAAAAGGTACGAATGCGGGAGACAGAACCAAATGTCATTTTCTGGTTTAGCTCAGCAGTAGCTGACTAATAATTACTTTTTGACTAAACAAAGACCATCACAGCACGATAATCACTTCTCCAACTCTAGGAGTTGCCATCAGGGCCCAACTTTATCTACCTCTCAGGAATGTTGGAGTCAATAACTGATTATTGCTTAGATTGAGTTACTAAGCAATTATATATTGGCAGCAATAAATATTATGATGGAAGTTATTGTAGAGTATTGAATAATTAAACACACCAGAGGGAAGCTGGCCTATAGCAACTAACTATAGCAGACTGAATAGTTATGTTATTATTGGAAAGCAAATATGATTTAAAGTAGCAAAACCCATGATCCTAGGTGGTGCAAATATCTAATTTTTTTTTCTCCTTTTAACCTTATAGACAGTATTGATAAACAAGATACATCGTTGCCTACCTGGGCCATAGTTCTGCTTGCAGTATCGTTTTCATTGCTTTTGATCCTGATCATTGTTCTGATTATCATATTTTGCTGCTGTTGTGTCTCTGGGAAAGAGAAAAAAGGTAATTTTTTTCAAAGTAAATTTGCATGTGGTTGTGAACTTTGGGCACAAGCAGCTGAAGTAATGGAGCTCTCTGACTCTTTCAAAAGTTGCTTCACTTATAATGAGCTATAACACCACACCTGTCAGAATGACTGTTATCAAAAAGACAAAGATAAGTGTTGGCAAGGCGATAAAGAAAAGGGAACTCTTGCACACTGCTGCTGGGAATGTAAATAGGCACACCCACTATGGAAAAACAGTGTAAAGGTTTTTAAAATTTAAAATAGTTGTATCATATAATCCAGTACTCCACTACTGGGTTAAAGTGTTATTTACAATAGCGAAGGAATAGAAACAACTGAAGTGGCCATCAACTGATGAATGGGGAAAGAAAATGTGAAATATAAGTACACAAAATGGAATAGTATTCAAGTGGGGGGAAACTCTGTCAATTGGGACAACATGGATGAACTTAGAAGACACCACATAAGTAAAAATAAGCCAGGCACAGGCATGGCATGATCTCACCGTATGTGGAATCCATAAAAGTTGAACTTATAGAAACAGATTGGTGGTTGCCAGGGGTGGGTTCAAGGTGTTGGAGACATGTTGGTCAAAAGATAAGCTTAGGCAGATGAATAAATAAAATCTGGGGAGTCATTGTAAACCTGATGACTGGGCCGGGGAGATAGCTTGGTAGAATAAGTGCTTGCCTGGCAAGTGCAAGGGCCTGAGTTCAATCCCTGGTTCAAAAAAAAAAAAAAAAAAAAAAAAACCTGATGACTATAGTCACAATGTGTTGTACACTTTAACTTGCTAAATGTTCTCACCAGAAAAAGTAATTAAATATGTGAAGTGATACAAGTGCTAGATCATTTAGCACTTGATGCATCCTTGTATCAAAACACTGCATTATGCACTATAAATATATATAATTTAGACCAGTTACACCTTTATCAAGCTGGGAATATGATAACAAGGACAAAAGAAAACTGAAAACGAAGGAGATACTGGCTTGCAAAGTATTTGAAAGTAGCTATGGTCAAATTCACCGTAAGGAAGAGGGGTGTCTGAGGGAGGAAGCTGCTCCCTTTGGACCTGCTGTACAGTTTCCAAGCACCAAGGACTCCCCACTTTTGAGAAGGTGATGAGGTGGCATCTTCGTCACCAAAGACACTGATTACTTACTTGGCTAGTGTGGTTTTCTTGCAAGGATGTAGGACTACTGTAGTATGTCATTAGATGAGATTGGGTTTTTTTCTAGAATGATATGTATTTGAACACCTCAGAAGGCTGTTTCTGTTTTGTGGAGTTTCAAGATTCCTTTTGCAAATGAATGCTTATGGTATGGTAGAAAGGAAAATAAGGTTTTCTGTTCATAACAAAATAGTACAAAATAAATGAATAAAATTAGCCCCACATTTCCTCTGGACGAGGACGCCTGACCACGCCACACTGTATGAGAGCAGTGGCCTTGGTTTGGGTCTCACCAGTAGCAAGGCAGGCTGGTCACAGGGTAGGGGAGTCCATGACCTCCAACCCATGGGTTTGTTATGCAGACGACCCAGAACTTTCTAAGTGCTGGTTATCTGTCTATCCCTGTATTTCTTTCACCTACTCCTACGTGTGTATTTTCTAAAGTTAAATTATTTTTTCATATTACAGCATGTTTAATTTCAGACAAATTATAGACTAATACACTATAAGTGATTTAAAATTTAGAAGAAAAGAGTGAATATATTCATAGTTAATTTGTATAGTCAGTTATAAAGGCACTAATCACAAAAAGTGGTGGTTTCACTTTGTAAGCACCAGAGACAGATACAGCTTTCATTTGTAATCTTCCGTCAATGTTATGCTTTAGTAAACATGGCTAAGAAGGGTTCTAAAACAAATTTTAAAGCCAGTATTGGGCTTTCATAGCATCCTATTAAAATTATGAACAGTACATTGATGCCTATGATCATTACTTCAATAATGTACTTACCAGGGGTCCCTGTGTTCCTTTGGCCAGGCCAGTTGTGAGGTTCTAGGTGCTTCATGTCCTGGGTTCCTCCGTCTACACTAGCTGCCCGGGGACCCGAGTGTTTTCATGCCAGTTGCCCATCCCGTGGTGCAGGGGGGATGGGGATTCCTCTAGTTTTTATTGCACTCCTGGAGGAGGCTTTCTGGCAGAAAAGACAGGAGAACAGATTATTGTAACAAAAGTTAAATTATTTTTCTTAAGAGTGGAGGTTTGATGTTTAAGCATATATCAGGTGGTTTGCATTTTTATTTATTAGCTAACTGCCATCTAAAGAAGACAATTGGGGGAAGGGAGGGAGAGAGAGAGAGAGAGAGAGAGAGAGAGAGAGAGAGAGAGAGAGAGAGAGAGAGAGAGAGA